GTTCTAAAATCGTCTCTGAGCATCGAGTTTCACTTCTTTCCAGCTCTGGAGTCACAGTTCCACTGCTGTAAATCACTGCCTCCTGGAAGCCACCCAAGATCAACTTCCTGCCATTGTAAATCTCCCTCAGCCATCCCTGCCCATGGCCCCAGACACCGGGCTGCTCTGATTCAGGCTTCTGTGTCTGGACAGCCCTGGAGGTGCGCTTCCCCTCCAAACCTCCATGAGGGGAGACACTAGTCACCTGTGCAGCCCTGTGTGAGGCAGGAGATGAACAGGAGGAAAGTTACTCTGGACCCCCCTCGCGGGAGAGAGAGAGAGAATACTGTCGGGCAGGGGGCACAGTGACACCCCAGCATCACTGAAGGCGCCATCACCCGGGGAGGAGCACGCCGGTCAGTCAGCCGCACATCCCTCTTCACCAGATGCTTGCGGGGACACCACAGCTCTGGCTTGTTCTCTGGTCGTGAAGGTGACGGTCGTGGGGTGTCAGCAGACATGCAGAGGACGCTGGGCAAAGGGTGAGGTGCTGGGTGCACAAGCACGTTCTCCAGCCTGCCAAGGGCCACACACAAGAACGGAGGGGACACACAGGCCACGCGGGAGGCACCCAGTCTGGGGGTCTTCGGTGCCAATGCTGTGCAGCCACGGCTCTGTAAGCCATCTCCACTGCACAGACACCATGTCACGGTGCAGCCACACATGGAACATTACTCAGCAATGAAAAGAGACGAGGCAGCGAGGCAGGAGAGGAGGCGGAGGATCTCACGTGCAAGTCACCAATGGGGAGAAGCCGACCCAGACAAGGCTGCCTGCACTGCCATCCTGACTGCGTGGTCTTCCAGAAAGGGCCAAACTATGGGCTGAGTGAAGATCAGTGGTCGCCAGTGGCCGGTGGGGGGTGGGGGCCAAGGCAGAGCCCACAGGATGTTCAGAGCCAGGACGCCGAGACACGGCTGGTGGAGACATATCATCTACTTGTCCAAACCCACAGAACATACACAGCATGATGGGCCCCGTGGGGAACCGTGGACCTTGGCCATGATAACACAACAACGTTGGCGGCAACAAGGGCACCCACTACTGCCAGAGGTCAGTAACAGGGAGGCCGTGGGGACGAGGCGTCTCCGCGCTTCCTGCTTCATGTTTCTGTAAACCCAAAGCGCCGCAGGGAGTGGCTGTGCCAGGTTCAGGAAGGAAAGCCAGGGTCACCTTAAGATTCTCGCCTGGCTGGGTCCACACGCGGGTCCACCTTGCTCTGGATGTCGGTGACAGCCAGTCACAGGAGAGCCGGAAGGGCCCAGAGACGGGCGTGTGGGCAGCCCACCCTCGGAGAAGCCTACTGCCACTCGCCAGCAACCTGCACCAGGGCCCTGCTCAGGGCTCAGGCTGACAGCTGTCCCTTGCGGGGGTCTGGCCTCCCGCACTAGCCCAGCTCAGTGGTCTGCAAGCTCTGCCTGCACAGCATGCTCCCCCCAGAGCCCCGGGAGGGGAGGTTGGGAGGGGACAAGTGGTTCACCTGTGCACCCCTGGGTGACAAATCACCTCCCCCAGCTCAGTGCAGCTTCCTGGCAACACAAACGACAAAGGGGTGCTCCGTGTGGGAGCGGGATGGACCCTTGCCAGCGCCAGGCAGGGGTAGGCCAGGCTGGTGCGTCTGTCCCTCCACACACTGTCGCCACCCCTGTGGGCCGCTCCTGCTGCCACCTGAGGGTGCAGAGCCAGGACACAGAGCTGGATGTCGGGCCAGCGCCGGGATCACGCCTGACAGGCCGCACCCCCACTGCCCCCTGCCAAGGCCACAAGGAGGCCTCCTTAGGAGGGGAGGGTGTGTGTGCAAAGAAAAATTCCATCTTCGATCCAGGAACACCCAGGCCAGTAATCCATATGGTGCCTGATGGCCCAGCTGGCCAGCTTTGCTTGCACAGCTCCAGACCTGCTGGGTGCCGCCCGGCCAAGCTCGTGCACAGACTTGCTCCCACCCTGAGCAGCAGCCCCTGCAGAGGAGAGGCGGGGGGCAGAGGCTGTCAGGGCAAATCCCAGCTGCCAGGCTGGCGGGCGACCCACCTGCCTCTCCTGAGCCACTCCTGGGAGGGTCCAGGCTCACCCCAAGTGACTCTCACCTCTACCCCAACACCAGAGACAGACACACACCCCACACACACACACACCCAGCACACTACACGTGCACACACACCACACACACCCTGTACACCACAGGCACACACACCACACACACATGCACACCCTGCACACACCCTGCACATACCACACACACACCACATACACACATCACACAACACCATACACACACACCCATGGCGAAGCCACCAGGTAGCCCCACATTTCTGGTGGTCTCCAGCACACTCTTCCACAGGTATAATTGGGACACCAGGGAGAACAGGCTGTTTTATGAGGAGTGAGTCAATAATTTCCTTTCCCCCCTCCCACCACCCCCTCCGCCCCACACACTCTCCCAGAGGGCCACGAGTGAGCAACACATGTGGGTGGGAAGACAGATGTAGTGGCCGTGCCCTGCTTGTCCATGCAAGGGAAGGCCCTTCGTGGCCTCCCCACCCTGGCCCATCACTCCATGCTGCCTGGTAACAAAGGTCTGCGCCTGGCCCCGCGCGGGCTTCTGCAGCTGCCCAGCTCCTCACCAGCACAGCCACCGGGGCTGGGTTAGGGTGGGGCCCACAGGGGCTACCTCTCCAGGCTCTGAGCCCAACTCCCCAGCCAGCACCCAACCAGGGCGAGCCCACACACTGGGAGCGTTTCACTCAGGTGTCCTCTGTGACTACCAGGCTTGTCCCTGTTCCTTCCCTCTGCTACCAGCAAGATGGGGCGCGCCCGAGGGGCTATCTCGGGGTCATATCCCCAAGTTGAGAGGGTGGGGTGGGACAACCTCCTAGTCTGCTGGGCTCCACCCCCATAACCTGCTGCCCAGGCAGGAGGCCGGGCAGAGTGCGTGTCCACAGCCCCTGGCAGGTGACTTCGGAGCTCCCAGACAGCAGCAAGCAAGGAACCTGGAGCCCCCACTACCCAAAGCCACACACGCGGGAGGCTCTTCCCGGGATGCAGGCATGAAAGCCAAGCCCAGAAAGCGCATGGCCCGCCCAAGCCCTGGCCGTCTGACGGCACTACCCGTGATGCCCCCTCACCGCCACACGGGTTAGGAAAAACAGGTCTTCCAGAAGCGGGCGCAATGTGCGCCCTGATATTTGTACCAAATGGCAGCAGTCCCTCAGCCACAGGAAAGCTGCCAAGTTTCCATCTTCCCATATACAGCCACACCTTGAATCCAGAAGCGAAGCTGCGGGGGTAGGAGGGGGCGCATTGACCATCCATGGCACAGGGCTCGAAGCAGCATGCACGCCAGGAGGACCTCCCTGTTCTGCTGGCCTGAGGGGAGCTCTGGCCCCTCAAAGACGGCTCAGAGCCCATCCATGACCTCACCAAGCCGGAGAACAGCCTCTGCATGCCTACAGGATGTCATCACTGCTCTAAGCAGCAAGTGTCTCATGCTAAAAACTCAAGTGGCTTCTTTAAGTTAAATTTGATTTCTCACATCTGTGTAAAAAGCACTTTGAAGTTGAAATAATTCAGAAAGTCATTTTGAGATCACATTTTCCTCACTCACATCAAGTGTTCCAGAGATATGCTCCCGGAGAAAAACACCATCCCCAACATACACCAAATCCACATTGAAGAACCCCAGCCTCCTCTGTTGGGGGGATTTTGTTCTCATAAATGATCAGTCTTGACTCATTTAATCCCTGAACAAAATGCACACACGCCCCGCAGAGTTGCTTCTTGGAAGCACGTTCTAGCACGTGGTGCGGACGAGAGTGGGATGCTGGAGGCCAGCAACTTGGCCAGTCCTGGTTGTGGAGAGGGGAAGGGCGCTGGGTGCGCACCCCTGAGGAGCCCTTGCCAGGCCCTGTGGATCCTGGACAGAGCCCCCTGAGCACCAGCAGTCGACGGCAGCACAGGGGCCTTCCCGGACGCTCAGGCTGACGCCCATGGGTGTTTGGGCTCCAGAGAGAGAAAAGCTTGCTTGGCTCGGCTTCCAGACGGTTCCTGGACACCTACCCGGGCCAAGCCCAGCCAGATCGAGAGCTCTGGAGCTTCTGGAGACCCACTGATGAGCGACAGCCCAACACCCTCGCTTCTCAAGGGAGACGTCGCTTTAAGCAGCTCGGGGGTACCTCCTGACACAACAGTGCCAGACGCCAGCGGGGACTATTCGAGTGCCTCGAGCACGTCTGACTCCAGTTCAGTCCCAGGCTTTCTCCTCTTCTAAGCACTCCCCCTGCCTGCAGGACCCACAACCCAAAGCGGGGTAAGTGCCAACACTGTTCCCAGGCCCTGAGCCATCTCCGCTCACTTAGGCTGGGAAGAGCGGGGACCACTGACACCACCAGTCACCTCAAAACTCATCCCAGCAAAGAGACAACTCATGTTATTCTAACATTTACAGAAAAAAGAAAAAAAGCAAGTAAACTTGGGGTGAGGGAGGGGAGGCACATCTGTTGCCAGGAGTTTATTAGCTAGAAATAGCCAGAGGTCAATAGCAGAAGACAAGAGCCCCCACATCTGATCAAAAGGCAGATATCCAGCAACTGCACCTGCGTGCCGGGTGCCCCAAGGCAGTGGTGATGCACCCCAGCTCTGCACCCCCAAGCCAGCAGCCTACCCCCTGCGGAGAAGAGGGAAGCCTCAGTCTCTTCCACACCCCCTCACAGCATGCAGTCCCCGAGCCTCCAAGGACAAGACCAGCAGGCGGGGTCTCGCTCAAGCATGCGCCTGTGCCCAGGTCAGTCATGCAGGGGCCACCCACCAAGTTATTCTCTGCCAACCACCCACAACGGCTCCCCTTCCAAGACATGACAATAAGGTCTGAGATTTGAGGGATGTACCTGACTCTCTCTCCCCTCCAGGGGTGGTGGAATCTGATCAGCAAAACCAATCTTCCCTGGGTCACCCACAAAGGCACTAACCTCATCCACGTTCTCAAAGGCGTTGATGACGTCATAGGGCAAACAGGACAGAAGGTCAATCACAAACCAGGTCTTCAGGTAGTTCATGCGGATGAGCTTGGGGTCGGAAATCACCTCTCCCGCCGGCCCCACAAAAGTGGTGTGGAAATTGAGCACAATGTCCACCAAGAAGATGACGTCCACGATGCTGTCTACCACCAGCCAGGCCACATTGTTCTGCCTGGTCTTGAAGGACACGTTGTAGGGGACAAGGATGGCCGTGTAGAAGGTCAAGATCAGGATGATCCAGTCCCATGTGGTCTTGAACACGCAGTAGTGCAGGATGATGTGTGGTGGCGTCTTGGGCGCCTCTTGCTTGTACTGGGGCAGGATGTCCGAGCCGAGCTGCAGGACCTATGGGGACACGGGCGAGAAGTGTCACAACGGAGGCAACACTGAGGGCTCGCTGGGCACAGGACAGCACGGGGTGGACGTGATCATGCGGACATGATGGGCACAAACACAATGAAACAGTGACAGATCTCGCAGCCGGAAGCCGAGCGCGGAGCCCGGTGCAGACGCCTCCTGCCAGTCAGCTCGCTCCGCCCCCGCAGGCCTGTTCCTTCACCTGTATTGGCTATGTGGCCACTGAGAAGTGGAGCCCACCGCTCAGCAGCGCCAAAGTCCAGCAGCAGGATGGTGAGGAGGAGGCGGCGCAACCCTGCCCTGCAGAGCCCGGGCCCAGGACGAGTGGCAGTCATGGGATGCCTGCTGGGAGCTAACGGCGGGGCCAGGGCCATGACCTGACGCTATCTGAGGAGGAGGTGCTGGACCCAAACCCAATGTGAAGACAAGACCCCGCCCATATGCTGGAATGAAAAATGATCTTCGTCAGAAAGTGGGACTGTGGTCACATGCCAGGTGCGACAGCCACGGAAACACCGGGAGGCCCAGGTGACCCAGGAGCACCTGCGTGAGGGGAAAACAGCAGGTAGGCCTGAAGGGGAAGCAGGCACCCAGTACTCAGGACCCATGGGCCACAGGGGGGTCATTCTCAGCGTGCCTAAGGGTGATTGCAGGGGTCGAAGCAAGGAATCACCTGAAGCATGTTTTTAAAAGAGCCCACTGCTGTGTTTAGATAATCAACGGAAGCAAAGGATTAGAGAGAAGATCAGAATCGTAGAATTTACTCTCACAGCCTGAGAAAAAGATGGGGTGATAGAAAAAAGCAGTCCCGGTCTGGGTATATTGGGAAGTTAAACCAGTGGAACTTGCCGCAGACTCAAAAGTGAAGATGAAGAGGGCCTCCCCTGGTGGTGCAGTGGTTGAGCACTGGGCTGCAAAGCTGCCCACAGACTCTGCAGCGTCGGTTCAATCCCTGGCCGCCGGAGAGGGTCCCACATGGTGCACAGACCTCTCCTGCCATGTCTGCTGCTCCCCTCAGTAGTATATTTTGTCAGTCTGCCTGTTCTGCTCCCCGCCCTGGCTCTGGTGAATCCTCTCACCCTCCCGCACTTCTGACTGTACCCAGTGCTTAGATAAATAAATAAATAAATCTTTAAAAAAAAAAGTTAAGATGGAGAGATGATAGCTTCCTTCCAAGCCTGGTGCAGTCCTGGCCCAGAGGACGCTCTGCAGGACTGTGCCTGGGGGATCCCCTGAGCTCAAAACTCAACAGACACGCTCCCACCACCAGAACCAGCCAAAACACGAGCCCGACAGGACTGCAGCAGGAGGGAGGGTATAACAGAGTTAAGAGTAGATCAGGGACACTGAAAATAGAAAAGCAACAGAGAAAACCAGTAATCTACAAAATCAGTAAGGTAAAAATGAAATTGAAAACCTATAGCAAGACTGAAAATAGAGTGGGAGGGGTGAGCATGAGAGCACGGGAACAGGCGTGACCCGCACCCCAGAAGCAGGCCACGAGTGCAAGCCCGGGAGACGTGGAAGATGGTGAGGGGAGCTGCCAACTGCTGGACACTTACAACTGGGGCACCTGGATGGATGGGCCTCGACAAACACAAACAACATGATCCACGGTCCACAGCTTGTAGACCCCTGAACTCCCCATGCAGGACTGCCCAGGCCAGCGGTTTGACATGGTGACAGCACCAGAACTGTACAGACAATGAACTGCGACGCCACAGACTCTTCCAGAAAACAGGAGTGAAGGGAACCGGATCAATGCATGCTGTGAAGCTGGGATTGCCCAGATTTCAAAACTAGAAAAAGACCCCCAAAAAGGAGAAAACAACAGAACAATATCTCTCGCAAATATAGAAGCAAAAGCCTGTAACAAGTAGCATAGAATTCAGCACAGAAGAAGGCCGGCTAAGCGGGGTGTACTCCAGGACTGGTTCAACTCCCAAAATCAGCGCCTGTGTCCACCACAGTAGCCGTGAAGAAAAGTCACATGGCCTAAACCGATGTCGAAATGCGTTGACAAAATCCAGCCCTGGTCATGATAAAAAATTTAAAATAGGGCCTCCCTGGTGGTGCAGGGGTTGAGCACAACACTGTGAAGCTGTCTGCCTTTGCAGCTCAAGTTCAATCCCCAGCCAGCCGGGGAGCAACCCACATGGCACAGCAGACCTCTCCTGTCTCCCCACCGCTCCCCTCAGCAATGGATTTCTGTACATCTGCCTCTTCTGCTTCCCACTCTCTCTGGTGAATCCTCTCACACCCCACGACTCTGGCCTGTACCCCACTTCTAAAAAATTTTTTTTTTAATTTAGAATAAGAATAGAGAGGAACTTCTACAACTTGATAAACAGTACCTACAAAAATATATATTTCTGACCCCAGCTTTAATAAGAGAATGAAGACTTCATAGAAGATGCAGAGCAGGCAAGACAGCTGCTTTCATGCCGGTGACGCAATGAAGGGCGGCCACCGAGGGAAGACCAAGAGGGTCAGGGGATAAAAGGGGACCAGAGAAGAAGGAAGAAGTGAAAGTACCCTATCGGTACATGACGTCATGATGGCACAGATTATCCAAGTGATCTGCATTAAAAACTTCTAGAACCAGTAAGTGTATTTAGCAAGTATCACACAAACGAAACACACACAGATAATTCTATTTCTAGATACTAGAGATGAATGCCAAAATCACACAGCACCATTTGCATGGGACAACGGGTGGGGGTGGAGGTGGGGGGGTGGGGCACACCAGTGCAGCACATTCCATGCGCAGACATGTCCATCTCCTCCCCTCCAAATTGGTATACAGTTAGCATAATCCCTATCAAAATGCCAGCAAGAGTTTTTGTATATTTGCACCAGATTACTCTAAAATTGATATAGGAAGGCAAAGGATCTTGAATAACTGAAGTCAACTTGTAATAAGAATCAAGTGAGAGGGATCAGAACCAATTTCAAGACTCGATACGTGGCTACTGCAGTTAAGACTGTGCGGTGCTGACAATGACTAAACACACTGATGAATGCAACCAAGTTAAAAACCCAGAAACAGACCCACACAAATATGCGACTGACTGGGCAGTGTGCTAAAGGTGAGGGAGAAAAGACAGCCTTCCCACAACAGGTGTGGGACACAGGCAGTCGGGGTGCAAGAGGGGCATCAGTGCCTCACACTTCATATAAATTTAACTCCAAAACTGTAAAACTTAGAGGAAAAAAAAAGTCTCTGGAATCTAGGGTAGGCAGACTTATCCAAAGCACAACCCATAAAAGGAAAAACTGGGGCCTCGCTGGTGGTGCAAGGGGATAAGCACTGCAAAGCTGTCAGCAGCCACTGCAGCAGGAGTGCGACCCCCGGCCAGGGAGCTACTCACATGCACAGGAGACCTCTCCTGTCTCCCGGCTGCTCCCCTCGGCAGTAGATTTCAGTGGATCTGCCTGTTCTGCTTCCCACTCTGTCTCTGGTGAATCCTTTCACCACCCGCACCTCTGGCTTATATACCAGTTTTTGTATGCATATATAGATAAATCTTTAAAAAAAAAAAAAAAAGGAAAAACTGATAATTGGGTCTCACCAAATTCAAACCTTTGTGCAAAAAACCCTCTTAGAAGAGTGAAAAGGCAAGCTCTATGTTGAGAAAATATGTACAAACCACAAATGCAACAAAGAACTAGTATCTACAAAGTAAATAATTTACAATACATCATCTCAAAAGCCAACAATAAAAAGACAAAAAGTCCAATTAGAAAAAAGGAGAAAAGGCACAAGCAGATATTTCACCCAAGAGAACACCCAGATGACAAACAAGCCTGTATAAAGACGCTGACACCCCAAGTCATTGGAGAAACATGGAAACCACATTGCCCTCACTGCACACCTGTCGGAATGGCGGGAATAAAACTAGTGACGAGCACCAGGGGGGAGCAGTTGAACCAAATCATGCACATACTGTCAGCAGAAACATAAAATGGGGCAGCCATCCCAGGACAGGCTTTTGGAGTTTCTTAAACAACTAAACATGCAACTACTACGTGGCTAGCAAGCACACGCCACACTCTACCCCAGAAAAATAAAAGGGTGTGTTCTCGCAAGACCTGTAGGTGACAGCAGCTTTATTAATAACAAACTGGAAGTGACCCAGATGCCCTTTGGAAGGTGAACAGTTCAATAAACTGGCGCCCAACCAGGGTGGAGTACTACTCAGCCAGGAAAAGGAGCTGATAACCACTGCAGGCAATGACCTGGAGGAATCTCAGAGACTGAAGAAACCACTCCCCAAAGATAATACACTGCAGGATCCCATTTACACAACATCCTTGGAATGGCAAACACACAGGGAGAACAAATTAGCAGCAGCCTAGGGCTTAGTGAGGGTGTGAAGCCAGGCGTATGTGGGTTTGGCCGCAAAAAAGCAACACTTGGGCAGAGGTGAGAGAATGTGTCAGTATTTTTTTTTTTAAGATTTATTTATTTTATTTATATAAGCACTGGCTATAGTCAGAAGCGTGGGAGGGTGAGAGAATTCACCAGAGCCAGAGAGGGGAACAGAACAGGCAGACTGACAAAATACACTGCTGAGGGGAGCAGCGGGCGGCAGGAGAGGTCTGCGCGCCATGTGGGACCCTTTTCAGAGGCCGGGGATCAAACCGGTGCTGCAGAGGCTGCGGGCAGCTTCGCAGCCCAGCACTCAACAGCTGCGCCACCTGGGAGGCCCAAGTATCTTAACACTGAACTATGGTTCAGGAAGCTACCAGCAGGTAAACTAAGTACAGGGTACATGGGATCTCTCTGTGTTACTTCTTACAACTGCAAGCGAATTAACAGTTATCTCGAAATCAGTTTAATTTTTAAAAATCAACTGAACACAGATGAACTACAGGGTGGTAAGGAAGGCCCTGGGACCCAGCCCAAGGGAAGGCAGGGCTGGAGGTGAGTTATGTAAGGGTAACAACATGTTTGTAAAACACGATCTGGGTGGAAAGAGGCACTG